CATTCCATGGATTCCCCCCGGATTCCGGGCCCTGAACAGCCAACCATTTTGCCCCCATTATAATCCACCACTCCTGCCTGCTACAATTATATGCTCAGCCACAGTGCTGTAGTAGGAAACATGCCACCGCCCTGGCATTCCTCTGCACCATTTCTCCAAAGACAAAACTGCATTGCACAATACTGCAGTGGATTTCTGGTATTTGACCTGCAGCACTGTGCAGACTTCCAGAAAAGTGAGTTAATCGCAAGAACAGGGGGAAAGAAAATTCTAGGAGGCTTATGATTGCAAGCCAGTGAAATCTGATTTTTTTTTTACAGTTATTGAAAACTGAAATAGAAAGGTATTTTAAAGACATTCAACCGCATAACAGCAGAGGTTTCCTTTAACAAGTTATAGAATGCTAATTTGGTCATTAAAGTCTATTGTTGGGCTTTGTGGCTGCGTAAATCACATGAAGGATGTCGCAGGGCAATATTCGCAGCTCTCAATGGAAAGCCCCAGCACTGTGTACACTTCCTGGTCAGCGAGGGGTGGATGTCTAACCACAACTCCTATGCCCAAACATCTATGAGATCAAGATAAATATCACAATCACAAAGAAATAAAACAATCAGGCAAGAAGACTCGCCAGCCGGAGGAAGAATAAGAATAACAAGCCCCCAGTTCCTTATTGATAGTCGCCACAGGGCCGGGCTGTGGCTTGCTTGGCAAATCCTGGGATTTCCAGTGATTCATCATTAACGGGTAAAAGGAAGCAAAGAGTTGCAAGAATAAAGGGCAGCCATGGGAACTCGCACACATGACGAATGGCAGCTATTTATCAAGACTATCAAAGGAGTCACTTTAACTGTATCAGATACTTTATAACGGAGGAAGCGGGCCAAATCCCACACACTGTGGCCTGAGATATATAAAAGGGGGAGAGGGGGAGAGAGAGAGAGAGAGAGAGAGAGAGAGAGAGAGAGAGAGAATGATTGTGTATATTGTGAATAATGACCCATTACAACGTGAAGACACCAGTGACAATTCTGTGAATGCACCCCATCAATTCGAGATTGGCGACATCACTGAGAATGCAGCCTATCCATTCACTAGAGACCGGTGACATCACTGAGAATGCAGCCTATCCATTCACTAGAGACCGGTGACATCACTGAGAATGCAGCCTATCCATTCACTAGAGACCGGTGACATCACTGAGAATGCGGCCTATCCATTCACTAGAGACCAGTGACATCACTGAGAATACTGCCAATCCATGATAAGTATCATTAGAAGTATCTGCTTACCTTACTCTCCAGAAAACTGCTCCACTCTTTCATTAGGTTGACATGCTGAACAGCTGAACTGGCTTCATGTGTTTTGATCTGCTGGTTTGTTCCCTAGGAACATAAAAACAAAGAAATAAGCAGACATATTTTCTTTATATACGTGTGTGTATATAGTGTGTGTGTGTGTATATAGTGTGTGTGTGTGTATATAGTGTGCGTATATAGATATATATATATATATACATACATATATACATACATACACACACACACACACTGTATTAATTGAAATCTGCGATTAACAATTGTAAGAAAAAGTAAAAGCTAAACTGCAGGCAAGTCTTCGTTCTAGAAAATGATTTTTAAGGAACGCTCGGGCCCAGTTTTGTGTAAAATATACTGACCTTAAAGTTGCAGCCGTAACGTTTAAAACTGCACGTACTGGGGGCGTTCACACATTCCAATAAGTGAGCATTCATCTGCAACAAAAGAGACAATTCTAAATACAAATCATAGAACCAGAACATAATTCAGAAAAGATGACGCTATAAAAAGAAAAAAAAAAAAGGAGGACACAGAGTTCATAAAGTCAAACTTCAATGTGCACCAAAGCAGACATTTTTGGGCAAAGGCTTTCCAACATGCACTGCACAAACTGTAAGGAAAGCTGAAATCTCATTGGCTGCTATGGACAGCAGCACAGCTTTTCTACAAGAGCGCCAATGCATATTCTTCACTGAAAGGACCTACCTCGCTTCTCAATAAGCTTTTTACGCTACATTTATGAGGGCAGGAAACGACGACAGACGGGCAATCCATCTCTTCGTGTGTCTAGAACAGATAGAGAGGCACATAGTTTACAAGCAGCGGGTAAATCGCTGGTCTGCCAACAAAAATAAAAGCACATCCTGGGAATGCACACTTCTTAGAATCAATGCAAACTGTAGTAGTGAACCTCCCATCAAGATTTTTACAGGACAACATTATAAGCTAATTTGTGTAGGTGCAGGGCTACACACAACGAGGCCAGAATTGTACAGCCCATTCATAAAATGCCTGCCGTAGTGTATTTCCACTTTTGCAGTCAAATTGGTATAACCCCTACTTCATACTTGCTGCATGTTCCTGTAGCAGAACTGTAAAGACTAAATAAAATTTGCTTGTCTTTCACTTGCTACATCTTACCTAGTTTTCCCCTTCTGTGTAATGTTCATGAGCGGGCTGGGGAGTTTGGGTTACCATAATTGACCCTGTCTGTACTGTGCTGGCAGCAGGGCCGTAACTAGAAATCACAGGGCCCCATAGTAAAATTTTGTATGGAGCCCTGTGATTTCTAGTTACGTCTCTTGCAGAGCCCACCTGAGATCCCAAACAGCTCACCTGAGAGTGACCCTGTAGAGGCCTCCATAGACAGGGGCGTATCTGTCGCGAGGCAAACAAGGCGTTTGCCTGGAGCGGCAGATTCGCTGAGGGCGGCGTTGCTGCCTTGCCTAGGACTACCTGTCAGCCCCAATCTGCTGTCAGCCTTCTACACCCCTAGGCCCCCTTGTCTCCTCCTCCTCCACTGCAGCTGGGCCTGGCCTCTTCCTCCGCTGCAGACGCCGGGCCCAGGTTCTTCCTCCGTAGCTGCTGACCGTCACTGATCTGTCTGTCCCCTGATTGCCCATTGCAAGCTACAATGAACCATACAAGCTGCCTATAGAGTCCTATGTATAAACCTGCTACAAAAGGAACAACTAGAAAGGGAAGGATGATTTAAAAAAATAAAATATTATTAGATATGCTGTGTGAAACTGCCAATGGGCTTTGGGCTTGTGTCGATGGCATCAGTTTGTCAAGGTGGCGAACAAGCGATTTGAATGAAGTACCTGCATTTCTGCTAGCGGGACCTGGTTTTTGCAGTACTGACATGGCGTCTCGCGGTACTTGCATATCTTCTCTATGTGCTCGCTCAGGTCCTTGCGAAAAACCTTCTCCTTGCACTCCGCACGCGGGCACGGAAGTTCTTCAAACTGGCAGTCGCTTTTTAAGTGGATCTGGAAAAAGAGAGAGAGTTTGTTCCATTATAGTTCTCCAGGTCACAGCGTTCAGCGCAGGAAGGCGTGTACCACAGCAGAAGCAAACTGACCATTGTCAACCACTGAAACTATCCCATGGACTGTGAAATTAAACGCAACTATAAATAACACTATGCTTATGCAGAAAAAAAATTCCTTAGTAAGAAGACATCACACCAAGTTGGCCACAGGCATCCCACGGCTGGAAATTTTGGCTGCAAGGGATTTGTCATGGATTTAAGGAATCTGCATAGATCAGGGGACATAGGTCACCAATGAAGAGAATAGGTCTCCAAGTCATGCCTCGAAATCAGCCTCTCTCAAGCAGGGTTCCATGAAACACTCGGGATCCTCCAAAGGTTGCTAGGGGTTCCATGAGCAATGAACAATTCCGACTCTCAGATAAGTAACTGCTAAGGAGGGCATTCTCCCAACGGACTGCCAATGTAATGAGCATTCTGCCCAATGACCACCAGTCTAATATCGCCCTTCCCTAACTGACTCTCCCAATGACCACCGATATAGGGGGATCCTTCCCCCACTAATCACCAATCTAAGAGGGACTACACTGCACTGATCATCAATGGTAGGGAGCACCATACTGACCACAAATGTAATGAGCATGCTTTCCATTGACCGCCAGCGTCATGCCACCCTTCTCTGACTCTCCCAATGACCACCAATAATGGCGGATCCTTCTCCCACTGATTCACCAATATAAGAGGGCCCTTCTCCATTGACCACCAATAGTAAAGGAGCATCAAACTCACCGCCAATGTAATGAAGATTCTTCACACTGACCACCAATAGTGCCCTTTTCTGACTGACCTTCCCAATGACTACCAATATAGGCAGATCCTTCTCCCACTGATCAACAATCTTAGAGGACCCTTCTCCACTGACCGCCAATGGTAGGCATCATCTCCCTACTATTGTTCAGCCCTGGTGTAGTGCCACCTTACATTGGTGGTCAACCAATGTAAGGTGGCACTACACCAGGGCTAAACAAATCTCAGGAGCCAGATAGCCAATGCTCCTTGAAAATTACAACTGGCACCTATATTGTCAGGTCTTCTCTAGTTGTGGTCAATGGAGCGGGTTTCTAAAAAAGAAATCCTGCTGGCTCCTAGATCGGACAGACTGGCTATCGAATTCCATATTACTTTTTCCATGCCTGCACTACACTGACCACTAATGTAAGGATCACATTTCAATGGACCATCATAGACAGCAGGCTTTCTCAATTGACCACCAATGTGAGGGAACTCTGCATTTTTTTAGTGTCTGCATTTATATTCTTGTCAAAAATAGATTAATTTTACTATTACTGAAAATAAAATTGATCTATAAAGCAGCACCGGGTGTCCAAAATGCCACATTCCTTATACTATTGCAACTTACTCTTCACACTAATGTACAATGAGCTGTAGATACATTAATCATTAGCAGGGGGTCCCTGAGCCTTGCAAGGTATTTTCAAGGGCTCCTCCGATTTAAAAAGGTTTATGAAGTCTGCTCTATGTCTGGGAAGAAAGAATGATTTGTATTACCATTTAAAAAAAAAAACAAAGTTAAAAAACGCTAGTTGACCCTTTAACCGGATCAGGCTTCGCAGCAGCCAAAGCTGGAGAACATTCGCAGCATGTCGGTGTCTACAACAATGCCTCTGGCTGCCCCTCTAAAGTTTACAGGCCCCCGTTACTGCAAAGATGAATCGGTGAGATACTTTATTTTTATCCCTCAGATGCCAAACATTACTTCTACTGAACCGTGAAATATTTTCACGCAATCAATTCCTTTTGATGATTTCCCTAGAGATACAAACACCGCTGGCATTTCTCATGGTCCCCGATAAAGGATTCCAGAGCAGAAAACCTCTGCATACCCTATAAGTTGCGGGCAACGATCCTCTGCTGCCTTTAAGGGTGAGTCCCCCTAAAATTTCAGCTTTTTGCTGTTGCACAAGAAGCAAACCAACCACTTTCTTCTGTATCTCACGGATGCTAGTGACGAGGTCCTAGGTCTGCACAGCTGTTGGGGAGATTTTGACTTCCTGTCCCTGTGACACCCATACAAGAAATTCGGGTGTGACTGTCGCTGGGACAGAGAGGCAGAGACAGCAAAATAAACACTTGTGCTGTGCTGGGCTTCTGGTATGTCTCTGCACCTTTAAGGAGGATTTTTTTTTTAACCTCCAGGCATACTATTTATGTCTGTGCAAGTCCCATGATGGGAGCTTTGTTAGATTAGAGAGTCAGGAACCACACTATACAGAGGGACCATGATGAGGCAGTGTGGTTTCCACATAGATTTACAAATGTATGCAAGTAACCCCATTTGCAGAGCCACTGGCACTGCAAATCTCTGTGACTGTTCGTTCTGTCCGAATGGATGAACAAAATGAACATTCTTGTTATAATCTCTTTATAAGTCGAATGTAGTTTCAAATATCATCTTGTAATACAGCATTATGGCCACTAGAAGGAGCAGAGGAGCATAGGAAAGAAATATTTATTTCCTATACACCTCAGCTCTATCTAGTGTTCCCAATGTGGTATTGGAAGACGTTTGAAAATACATCCGATTTACAAAGAAAATATAACAAGAACATTCGTTTTCTGCATCACTTCGCACAGAACAAACATTCACAGAATTCACAGGGCCACTGAGAATCATTTATAAATGAAGTTTTTTGTCATATGACCAAACAAGCGCTTTCGGGACCGCACAGGGTCCTTTCATTAGGCTTTAGCATTGCCCATACGTCAATGCTAAAGCCTGATGAAGGGACCCTGTGCGGTCCTGAAAGCGCTTGTTTGGTCATATGACAAAAAACTTCAATAAATGAAACTTTTGCTATCTTAAAAGGATTGGTGTGCTGGTGACATTTCTACAAATTGCTGACATTCGCGGCGCCATCCGCGGTCACTGCGAGCACCCCCCACTACAAGGGACATATCGGTAAGGAGTGCGACAAGGATAGCACTTATTGTCATTTATAAATGAGCCCCATAGTGTTTAAAGTGTGATTGGACAGTGAAGAAGCAGCAACAGACTGATGAGGTCATTGCTCTCTCCACATGTGTGGGACACCTGATTGGCTCTCAGTGCTGTCCCTCCCTCTCTCAGACTAAATTATGCTGCACAGGGGACTACAAAAGGCTGAAATCAAATTCAATTGATTGCACTATTTGCATCAAAGAAATACATTTCAGATTCTTTAGATAATTACACAATTGCACTCATCTGAGGTTTTGTTTTTTTCTACATCTGCCTGGAGTTGCACTTTCACTTTTTGGGGACCCTCATTGATGACTGTGACTTCACATAGCAAAACCGAAACCAAGCTATCTCTGGGAAATCAAACCACAAATTAGGAAGAGCTGCAGTTCTTCCCAAAATCATCAGTTCTGTTTTTAAACAACAATTTACTGTAAATATAAGGTAGAAAGCCGCCATTGCTTCGAGGAGTATCTTCCAGGAGCACCTACCACCTGCTAATGTGAGAAAGATTCTCTGAATACAATTATATGATGCAAATGTAATGAATGCTTACATAGTCATGTAAACCCTGGTGCCTTCTGTTCTTGCCTGTGTGCACAAATGTCTGACACAGACCCCTGGTGAAATAATACAAAGTTACAATGTTGCAGAATCATCAGGGGGGTGGGGGGAGGAGACTGAAGAAATGCTTCCTCCTGCCTGCATCAGACTGGTCACTGGAGGACAGGACACTGAAGAAATGCTTTCTCCTGCCTGCATCAGACTGATCACTGGAGGACAGGAGACTGAAGAAATGCTTTCTCCTGCCTGCATCAGACTGATCACTGGAGGACAGGAGACTGAAGAAATTATTCCTCCTGCCTGCATCAGAATGTTCACTGGAGGAGGACAGGAGACTGAAGAAATGCTTCCTCCTGCATGCATCAGACTAATCACTGGGGGAGAGGAGACTGAGGAAATACTTCCTCCTGCAGCTGACTGATGACATCATCTAAGGCTAGGTAAAGGCACTTGACGGTTTTGTAATGACAAAAGGTGGCGCTTTGTAGAAAAATTATACTGTTGATGTAAAGTTTTGGCATGTCAAAGTTGGCAAAAAGATCCTCTTTAAACAAAACAAAAAAAAACACCCTGGACCACCAATACAATTTTTCTGACCTTAAGAAGTTAACAGGAGGTCCTCATTGAAAAAACCCCCCGAAAAAAACCCAAAATAAAACCTTGATCACCAATATATCATACAATATATTTCTCACCTTAAAAAACTGTGGCGGCCTCAAGCTAACAGCAGCTCACCTGGGACTAGAAAAGATCCCGGATCTGGCAGTCCACCAGAACCAGTCAACTTAGGGTAGCTGCCCTTCTTTTGCATTATGACGACACAGGTCATGTCCCTGATGGTCAGTGCTGGTGATGATGGTGATCATGGTGGACGTGGTGGTGGGGCTTCATACCCTTGATGAGCAAGCAACTGGACTGTGCAGCCAGCACACAGGCAATTCACCTGGCCCAGATACCCATCCAGAGCGGTGGGTCTTTGTCAGGCAGCCAGGTCATTGAGCCAAACCGACTATCTTAATGATGGTAGAAGGGGTGCTCTGACCATTCCTGTGATGGTAAAGTGCACTTACTTTGGCACTGGGACAGCCATATATGTTGAGGTACCCAGCAAATGGCTTTAACGGATATTAGTGAAATCTGATTGGTGGCTATCAGTCACTAGACATTCTGCCTTCCTTAGAACATGAGCACCGATAGATAAGGTGTCACTTACAGACATTAACAGATAAGTCATGCATCAAGCTGCATTGTCCTCAGTCCCCTGTATGTGAAGCCGCCGTTTCTACTGAAAACTATACTACAGCAAAAACAAAATTAGGTTAATGCAATTTGTGGTGTCTCATTAAGGGTCGGCGGAGGGATCTGATTCGGTCACAATTGTAAAACTAGAAGCCGCAATTCCTAGTACTGGATCTGATTCCGCAGAGGCCGGTTAAGTTTTGGCAAGGTTTAGGGTGTCTCTATGATTCGTTGTCTTGCCGTCATGTACTCCTATCTAAGCTTTGCAGTGACCAAGCTTGCAACTCTACAAGACCACCAAAGCTGAAAAATAAGACCAGTCATTGAAGTAAACTAAAGCTGGCTATACACTGCTCAAATTTTGTCCGATTCCTGTGATTTTCATTGAAAAGGTCATATTTTTCTTCTGGTACACTATTACATGATGAGAGGAGAAGTGGACACACAACAATACATTTTGTGCACATGGGTCTGGCATTTATAGGAACCAGGATGCCATAATTCTAGTGCTTATAGCGGCCTCGTCCCTTTGCACAAAATCTGTTGTTGTGTCCCCCCTTTCTGTCCATTTTCTTCAAATACGGAGCTATGTGGCTTTTGTAGACAGTAATAGAAATAGTGTGTAGTGCAGCCAATGTTTGAAGCAAACCTATAGGAACAGTAAGAATTCTAAAGGGGTGATATCTAAATGACGCCAGCCTGCATTTATAGTTTCTTCCAGCCATAGGAACCCCAAAACCCAGGCACTCTATAATACTCCACCCTCATCTAGGATGTTGGAGCTTTGGCCCAAACCTTGCTACTTGACAGTAAATGGGATTGCGGACCAGTACCAGGGCTTGGGAAGTAGCAGGACAAAGAACAAACCTAGATGTTGCATGAGAGCAATGTGGGTTTTGAGGGTGACATGGATTCTAAAGGGGGCCATGGGTTCTACAGGGTGGTGTGGATTCTAAAGGGTGGCGTGGATTCTAAAGGGTGGCGTGGATTCTAAAGTGTGGCGTGGATTCTAAAGGGTGGCGTGGATTCTAAAGAGTGGCGTGGATTCTAAAGGGGTGTCATGGGTTCCAGACAGTGGCGCGAGTTCTAAAAGGATGACATAGAACCCATGTCACCCTTTAGAACCTAAAGGGTGGTGCGAGTTCTACAGGCTATCGATAATATGAAATCACCTGCACTCCATAGAGCGTACAGACCTTGGATGAAAGGTTGGTGCTTGAAGTGACAACACGGATGGCGCCGTGTCAGATACAGTCCATAATAGAAGTTAACAGCACTCGATGATATGTGCAAGAAGTAAAGCACTTTTTATTGAATCATCACATACGTCAAACAGCCTTACCAAACAGTGGCGCGAGTTCTAAAGGATGACATAGAACCCGTGTCACCCTTTACAACCTAAAGGGTGGTGTGGGTTCTACAGGGTGGCCTGAATTCTTAGACTTCCATCACTCTCCGGAAGGAAACTGAAAACACGTAGGTACTTTAACATCCCTCTGGAACTACAAGTGCACTTTAATCTGTGAAGAGTGCCTAGTCGACATCGACACAATGTCTATCCTTCATCATTCCAGAAACCAGTTCCCGCCATTTCTATTTGACTGAATTTTCTGTTTATGAGGACACTTTTCTTCTGCAATTTCCATATTTCTGTTCTTAAGAGGTTTCCTTTTAAACCCCTTCGTGACGGGAGACGTACAGTGTACGTCCCGGAACTTTGTGCCTATATGACTGGCCACGTACACTGTACGTGACGAGTTATATCAGGCTTTGTAATGCTGATAACAGCTGATTCTCAGCAGTTACCAGTCATTAAAGAATGTCTCAGTATTGGAGGCATTCATTAATGAAATAATTAAGCTTTTTGTAAAAGCTTCTTCCTTTCAGTAATGAAAGAATGAAGCCGTTACATGCCTCACCTCTCTGCTATTTGTTTTGACAGCTATCTTTTGAGTGAAATGTATCAGTTCTGATCGTCTAGGCACGATCTAAAGAGCTTTTAGTGAGATCTGAATCTGACTAAAGTCAGGATCAGTCTCTAAGGTTATTATTAGCTGTTCCTAAGTTTGGAGCAGCCTAATAAAAAAAAAGTTAATTTATTAAGCAGTCATAGTGACTGCTTGATATAAACTGACAAGAAAAAAAAAAGTGTTTTTTTTTTTTTTCCAAAGTGTAAAAAAAATTAAAGTGTAAAACAAAATTAGGAAAATAAAAATGATATGTAAATATATTTTTTATTCTATAATTAATATAAAAAAAATCTAAAAAAAAATAATAATCAAAACTTGTGAAAAAAGTGTTTTCTTCTAGTTTTCTTCTAGTTTTTTTCCTCATTTTTTTATTTTATTCAAACTAAGTGAGGGGTTAGGTACACATATGTGATATAATTATATAGCCCTATCTGTCCTCTAAAAAACAATATATAATATGTGTGGGTACATTTAGTAAGAAAGCATATTACTGCTGTGGAAGAATCACACAGCAAACATGTAAAAAGTGTGTCAGTCATTTATGAAGAGAAACTGAAAACTAGCTCAGTCATGAAGGGGTTAAGGGCCAACTACACCCAGAAATCATAGATCAAGTTTGCACCGTCATTGGCAAATGGAATGACATTATTTTGTATATCTCCAACAGAACTCCACCTCCCGCCCAACTGCTATGCCAGGTCAAAACACAATCCACTGTGGTAAAGCTGGTGACTATGGTCTCGGAGATATGAGAAATGGGTGGGCGATTTGGCCCAGAAACGAAACATCATTTTGAAGTGAATTTGGCCTTTAAATAACGTGTCCCCTATCATGTGGCAATTGTTGATACTGTGACCGTATTCTGCTCACCCTACTGACAAGAGTCAGACACTAGAGGGAGCACGGTGATGCCGGCCGGGAAGCCAATGCATCCTCTTCTACGAGCCACATCCAGCAGCTCTGTACATTTAGCAACCGTGACCGAGAAAAAAAAAAAAAAAGAAGATTTGTATCTTACCAGTAGATTTCCTAGTGTGATCTGCTCCTTGCAGCCTCGATTATCATTCCTGCAGTACATCTGAAGGGCCAACACTTCCCGCCGACAACAGTTATCCTTAAACACCTGCAATGCAAGAGATCCGTTTATTGCAAACCGATTTACATTTTATAATCCGGGAACATAAATCCTTATCCCCGAGGCTGCGATGTGCTTATCACGAGGGGAGGGAGGCCCGCTCAAGTCTCGCTCGGTCTCTGCCCACCCAGAACTAATTCACTTAAGGGAAATCGAGGATTAATTTAGGAAGCGTGTCCTGGCATTGAGAGTTGTTTAGGAGTACTTTGCGAAAGGAACGCGCTGGAAGTATTTTTTTTACCCCCGGTTATTAAAGAGGGGTCAAGGCACTCTCCTCCTCTGGTGCACAAGGTAGGGTCGCAGGGTCTTAAAACTAAAATCTAGGCAAACAAACGCACAACTGAATTGCACATTAAGGCCTGGTTCACACCTGTACGTTTTGTAGCGCGTTCAACGCTCTACGAACGCTCTACAAAACGCTCAAACATGAAAATCCCATTGTTTTCTATGGGTATGGTTCACACCTTGCCGTATTTCAGCCCGTCTGAACACGCTACAAAACGGCCTACGCCTGAAAAGGTACATGAGCTTCTTTGCTGCGTTTTTGTTGTGTGTTTCCATTAGGATACAGCCAAGTAGCCCACGGAAACGCGCGAATCGCGGTAAAAACGCGCATCACGAAACGCGCGACAAACGCGCATATTCGATATGCCTAGGTGTGAACAGAGCCAAAGGGAGCTGTTTAACATGCCAAATTATTTTTTTCTCTTGACAATCCAATCCTGAGATTTACCCAGACTACCTGACTACTGACAGTTCACACAATACAGCTCGGTCACCTCCTGTGACTGGACAGTGTAAGAGTCACAGGAGACCGATGAGCTCATCCCTCTGCTCATGTGCCTGAAACAAACCCGATTGTCCCTTGGTTCTACTGTACACATGACCGCAGGTAATAAGAGGTCAAACATAGATGCAGGCACTGGTTGCATTTAAAATATACATGTACTGATTAAAATAAAATAATTCATTGGTGTGTAGTCCTATTTTATATGTTCCCAGAACTCAACTTCAACCTGTCATCGTGGTTCCAGGGTTGAAGGGGTGTCCCGAATTATATTTGACACCCTCCTGTCCACAAAAATTCCCCTTAGAACATTAGGCTTCCCACAAGGAGGAACATTCCTTTTTAGATATGATGTTTCACCAGCTTCCCGTATAAGGAATGGATTTGCCCTTTGCTTTCTATTCTATTTGCTATTTTATTTTATACAGTTGAATCATATTGTCCTTACTGGAATTTGTATTGAAACAAGTGTTTGCTGACTTGCTTTGCATGCCAAGCTAATAACCAATGCATCCAATACTCAATGCCCAACACTAGCCAAAGATTTTATATTTTTAGGAAGGAAAAAACTGATAAAATTCAAAGCCAATGTAGCTTTGTTGTTGCAGACACACAGGGAGTTCCCATCCGGGACACCCTCCCCTGATGCATTTTTTACCCAAGGAACTGGGCTTAATCATAGAGACCAATTTGAATTTTAACAGAATGCCGCTGCTTTTTCTTCCTGGATTCAGTGGGCGTTCGGGGCATAGGATGAGCCCCCCGTCTGGCTTTTGGCACCTGTTTGCTTGGAGAATGACCAAGCACTATAAGCTTGTGTGCGGTGAACAGATTTCTTTATTGGTGCGCTTTTTCTATTTTTAGATTGCTGACTTTCTGTCAGGTCTAAGAGGTCAAGGAAGCATGGCCAATAAAAACCATTGCCAAGTTGTAACCCTTCCACACTCCTAATGTGCTATTGTCTCTGCCCCCCTTGGAGAGATTTCCCATCACTTCCTGTCCTGACAGGAATCCAGAGGAAATCCCCCCCAATAGAGATGGACACAGATGGTCGTAAAAGCCCAAGAGAGGTTTTAACCCTTCCTCTTCTCTATTAAAAAATGTAAAAAAAAATATTCGTCTGGAGTTGTGCTCAAACACAAATTCCTCATGTCCCTGTTTGTAGGATGAATGCAACGCAGGTTTTAACCCTTTTGTGTTTGTAAATTCAAGCAGACTAAGTTCCTGAATTTGAATCTTGAAGAAGAAATATTTGTCGCCCAGAGAAACCATCTAGATTTGCCCTTTACCTTCCAAACCTGCTCTGGGAAAATGAAAGGGAAATCCGCCTGGTTGAATTAAAAGCAACCAGGCGTCTGCATTTTAAATATCTGTCTCCAGTCTCTTCTGAGGTGAGGCGCCTTCAGACACGCACAACCCCATCCAAAGAGCTAAGATCAGATTTCGACAGAAATATCCTGTAAACATGCATCCTGTTTCATGCTTGGGACTTTCCAAGCCTTCTCAACCCTGCTCATTTCAGAGAAACAATGCTGAAGATGTGACCTCTGGATTGGGAGGCTGCCGCCACTCCTCCAATGTTCACATGCTTTCTCGCTTATTAAAATTCCCGCCGTATTGAACTGTACTTTACCCAACTTCCATTCCTGTGTCATCGTAATTATTTCCAAGCAAGCCAACTATTTATCCTCCCATTGTTCGAATTGTGTTCTCCCACTGATCAAGTTCAACGTCTGTACATAAAAGACTAACAAGATGGCGTTTAGAGTGGCTGGGAAATGCCTGAACATTACGTCTTTCATAATGGTTCACACGGTGCTTTGCCAAAAGCCAAGTGATGCAATGCGATTTTACACCCTCGACTTCAGCGAAAACCTCTTCGAACTTCTTGACCTCATCTTACATTTTCCCAGCTCTTTACATCCAACTCTAGCCTCTACAAGTTCTTGGATATGTTTCTCCTCATCCATTTAATCCACAACTGCTCTGACCCTCTTCCTAAACTACCAGTCTTGGTGTTTTCCAGCTGCCAGACGTCATGGAGCTCCAGGAGAGCCCCAGCACAAGTCCATTCCGCTCATGCTAATTAACCATGGTATCTCCTCCTATTCAGCATGTTCCTACTGAAGAAGAAAGACTTGTTACTAGACCCAACAGCACCCTCCCCCTCCTTACTAGACCCATCACAGGTTTCTCTCAGCTTTGGGGCTCCAGCATAGGCCTCACCCAAATTCCAGACCCAAACGTGAGTATCTTCTGACGCCAAGAGCCAAGAACAAGCCTCTTGATGACCCTGAAACCAAGCAGTGGCTTTTACTAATTCCTAAAAAATAGTAGCATCCTCTCAGATCCTTGTTCCTAATAATCCACCTCTCTGTGTCCCCTGCACGCTAGCACTTAAGTCTCCATGTCCCAAGAAGCCAGTAATGATTTTTTGCATTCACCAGCACCAACATCTCATAGTCTATAGAGGCCAGTAACAACATCTCATAGTCTATAGAGGCCAGTAACAACCTCTCTTGGTCCCAATTAACTGCTATGAGTCACTAGATAAAACTGACTTTTCAGACCATAGCACCATGCCACCTTCTAGTTGTTGGACCACAGGCACCAACTTCCTTAAAATTTAGTTCTCCAGAAACGCCCTTTAGTGATCCCTAGATGCCACTGAAAACGAATAGTCCACAGCTTCCTGCTTCTTCGTTCCTTTGTCCAAGGTTGTTTTTTTATCTCAAGTTGCTTTGACTTTTTTATGCTCTAATTTCCTTCTATTCTCTTTGATCTCATCTCTACTCTAGCTTTATTTCTACTTGGAATGCATTTACCTGTTCTTTTTATTTTTGTTGCCAAGCTACTTTTATCATCATCTCTCACTTCCCCTTCCATCCCCGTTTCCAGAATCTCTCTCTCCATTTATTGTCATGTAGCCCCCAATGCCTGCTCTATGCCAGACTTTGATATTAATGAAGCAGGGTTGCAGCGATGCAAGAGTTAACACTTGATCTGTAATTATACTTCTCTGAGACTGAATGAGCAGTATTTTCCATCCAGCGCCTCCCACATTGGCGCCAGCCACCACTAAATTCTACTAGAGAGAGGAAGAAATGACACGCGGTACTCCAGTTCAGAGATACACAAATTACAACTGGAAACTGAGAAAGGTTCATAGAGGAGGTGATCCACCGCTACAAATGGCTGCCTCTACATTCCACCATGAAACATTCCTCCTCCCCCCAAGTTTTGTGACACATCAATGATATGTAAAATACAAGTGATGAAATAATTATAAGCTATGACATCATTACTCTTTACATGTAAATTGTATTTTGCAGGTGGGACATCTCGCATCTAAGACAGACAAATGGCTTTGGGATGGATACCCTGAGACAAGCAACTTCCAGAGGGATAGGCAAAAACAGACAAATGGTGACAGAAAATATCAGATTTATATGCATCAGATAGATAATGCTAGTGCCCAACTTTAAGCCTGAAGGCCACAGGTGGTCCTTTGGTATATGTTGTTTGACCCTTAGAGCAATAGTTGAAGCAGAAGCACTGGGATGTAAAGGGGCTCTAACAGCAGTGATCTTCAGCAGCCTCATGAAAACTGTCCCCCAATATCCAACCCCACAGTCTCGGGTCATCTCCTGGAGCATCTCCACCGTCTCGGGTCATCTCCTGGAGCATCTCCACCGTCTCGGGTCATCTCCTGGAGCATCTCCACCGTCTCGGGTCATCTCCTGGAGCATCTCCACAGTCTCGGGTCATCTCCACAGTCTCGGGTCATCCCCATGGAGCATCTCCACAGTCACCGGTCATCTCCTGGAGCATCTCCACAGTCTCGGGTCATCTCCTGGAGCATCTCCACCATCTCGGTACATCTTCCTGGAGTATCTCCACCGTCTCGGGTACATCTCCCGAAGCATCTCCACAGTCTCGGGTCATCTCCTGGAGCATCTCCACAGTCTTAGGTCATCTCCTGGAGCATCTCCACAGTCTCTGGTCATCTCCTGGAGCATCTCCACAGTCTCTGGTCATCTCCTGGAGCATCTCCAATCTCTGGTCATCTCCTGGACCATCTCCACAGTCTCCGACCATCTCCCATAGTATCTACACAGTCTCTCACCATCTCCTGTATTATCTACACAGTCTCTGACTATCTCCTGTAACATTATACATACTGATTATATGCCCTCCCCTGGTGAAGGTAGGAATCAAAGCTCAGAATGCCGAATTCTGCTCTTCAGTAAAGAACATGTGACTAACATCAGCCTCTTGTTTTAAGCAGCATTTTTCCAGGAAAGGAAAGCATGGCAATTCTTCTAGAACTTTATTTATCCCTCCCAGCAAAACTTTCAAATTACTCATCTTGCAATTAACACTTGAGTATAGGTTCGCTTTGACGGACACATAATACATGGTCAGACAGAGAGTTTAGATGGCTGTACACTGGCCAATTTTTTTGTACTTCCCAAAGAATCCATGAATACCAATGAAACATGTAAAATTCTAAGTAGTGGTGGTAATGGTGGCCGACCACCAAACCACATCATCATAAATGATATTGCAGCTCCTCATCCTCTGCAGTTTTTTTTAACTAAATGATAACGCGTCAGATCGTTCAAACTACAGGACAGCCACAGTCTATCATATCTGCTACTTGTCACCGGTGTCACCAATCCGGAAATGGAAGCCAATCCCAAAACTGAATGAAATAGAGTTACAAAACGCAGATAAAACAGTAAACAAATATTTAATTCAACACTTTTCAGTTTTGCGGGTTTGCCTGGCATTTCCCCTTTAATAAATTAATTGGTTTATTGAATCACTATGGCTGTCCATTCTCTAACAAGACATCCAGGTCGATCCCTTCATTTAAAACTTGCTTGACAACAGAAAACTCAAGTAAAAGACAAGTCAATTAGGGACATGCCATTAGGTATGAGTTGATCAGCGTGACAACCAAACAACCACTCGCGCCTCGCGATCGCACTAATTGCCGTGCAGATCACAAATGTCATCGCTCCGGCTGAACTTACAGGTCAACCGGCGACCTCGAGGAAACCGTGATGCCGCTCTGTGCTTTACAGGGTCAGACGTGGTCGAAAAACACATCAGAGGCGCTAAACCTATGCAGTGTTCCACCAATTAAAAGACACAGCTTGCAAGCTTTCCTGCAGAAAAGTGACACTCGGCCAAACGCGCAACAATTCCGATCAATGTAACGCGTCGGCGATACATTTGGATCTATAACAAACTAGATTACACTAAATGACACTATTGGGGCTATCCAACTGTTTTGGTCAATAAAGGAACAATTGGTTCTAGTGGAAAATTCTTACAAATTCAATCAAATCGATCTTTTGTGAGTGACGGAATGAAATCTATGACTGATCGTTTATTGCTTCATGTGTGGTCTAAATGAGGGTAGTTAGTATACGAAAAGCTGTTTAATGAACCACTAGAACTGATAATGTTAAAAGATTATAATAATAAAAAAAATAACAACACATTATTTATAGATAAATAGAGATTTAAAAAATACATGATAGGGATGTGGCACCTCAAATTCAGCAGGCAGTCTCCCATATACCGCCATACACCTAATCCAAGTGATAGGGGAGTGGCACAGGTATTACTCCAATTTCAGTTTAATTTTTCATTAACCCAGGAATATCAGTCTGACAGTTTGGGGTCTCATCAATCCAAATTCCGTACAGTTTCGGGTGTTCCCGCCCATTAAGTCCACACCTCTGCCCGAAACTGTTGCTGCATTGATGAAAAATGTTTCAGTACCATTTTTCATCAATGCAAATTCTGTACATCGGAACGACACTTTCGGTCACAGGTATGGACTTAAAGGGAGGGAACACCCGAAACTGTACGGAATTTGGATTGATGAGGCCCCAAACTGTCAAGTCTGAAATTCCTGGGTACGGAATTTGGACCGATGGAAAATTAAACTGGAATGACAGTAATACCGTGCCACACCCCAATTACTTGGACTGAGTGTACGGCGCTAAATGGGAGACTGTCTGATGTGTTTGCAAGGAGGTGATGGTGATTAATCCAGAAAGTCTGGCTCACCGATCTACAAGTATGTGTGATAAAGGATTATCATTATTGTTAATAATAAATAAACATATATCTATATATAGATATCTATATCTACATAAATACACACACACACACACGTGTATTTCTGCCACTTGGAGTCACAGGTGGTGCATACAGCCGCCTATACAAATCAATGAGAGGATGTGGCTGTATCCTGGTAAATGCTGTGTCAAAGGTATACATGTACACAGGTACACAGGTATGGATGTACGCGCCTGGACGCAGACTGTCTGCATCCAGGGGTGCATGTATACACTCGGACCAGCATACCCCTATGTACAGCCGCATCCTCTCATTGATTTGTACAGGTGGATGAATGACTGCGAACTGTGACCAGTGGCGTACCAAGCGTGTCATTTGAAGGGGGGGCGCAGCAAAAGTTCGGCAACCCATACACAACTGCCCGTCCGACTCTTGGCAACCAGGGATGCTCTCGCCGGCGCCCTATCCAACTCCTAGCAACCAGTGATGTCACTGGTTGCCAGAAGCTGGGCAGGACGCCAGGCATGCAATGTAGATACGCCTTTTCCCGTGACTCGTTCCGACCCCTGCGCCCGCGTGCATAGGCCCTAAGAAGGAACCAGATTGGCTCCCTCTGGCAACAAGAGACATTTTCTTATCTTTAGTTGCATAACTCGGCACCAATATTTCTATTCTGATGCATAAACACACCAAGCGGCTATTAGAAACGTTCATCCACCAATCACTGCGCTCTGTCTGGGGAGGCGGGGCCTAATAACATACCAACACATTTGCTGCGCTATGCCGACGTCTACCTCTTGACCGATCCAGCTGACTAGCCCAGTACAATTCCTAATGTTTGTAGAATTCTATGGTTTAGGAGCAGATTTTGGAAGGGGGGCTCGGGCACCAATCCTGGCATATAGTAAAAAAAACGTCTTACCTTGTCTTTAATGATTACTTCTTCACATGCTGTGCATTGCAGACTTGAGGAGCTGGAAACCAGACAAAAGATATATATGTTATAAAGAATAAAGTGAAATAAAATGCTTTTAGAAATCATACGAGGAACATCGCTTTCAAAACATTAGCAGTGTGATTAGGACACATTGGGAGGAATTTATCAAAACTGGAGCAGTTGCCCATGGCAACCAATCAGCTTCTCTCTTCAGTTTGTTCAGGTAAGATTTGAAAATGAAAGAGAGAAGCCGATTGGTTGCCATGCACAGCTTCTCCAGATTCTGTCTACTCCCGTTTTGATAAATTCCCTTCGTTATACGTTTATGCTGCACAATATATACATTTAATACATATTTGTTGGAAATCCGACAATCTGAAAGAACCAAAAAAGAAAGAGAATCAAAATTATTTTAGAAAGCCTTCAGGGAACACATATGTCTGTGCTGCAAAACGTAAACATTAGTATTCAATATACAAAATATACATATTAATATTTAATACATTTAATACAATACATAATATTTAATATTTAATACAAATTGGGTAACAAAATGGTGCAGTTCACCATTTAAAGTTCCCCATTTAGTTTCTAAACCCGAAAACATAAATTTTACATACTGAAGTTCACCAGTCCTTCAATATGGTGGCTGCATTAAAGGAGAATTATGAGGTGAGTGATTTTCACTCACCCTCATAGTTCGAGCCCTCGCTCACTTCTCGATCCTGTCACGACTCCCGGCAGGGATTCCTCCCCCCTCCCCTGTCCGATCCTCCAGCGCTGACTGGCGGAACCGACGGGGCGGGAACAACTGGCTCTGCCTCTAGATAGGCAGAGCCAGCTGTCAATCACGCAGCTGGGTGCATCTCGACGGTAATGTCGGGATCCGTCCCGGCTGCGGGGGGCTCAGTATACCGCAAGCTGTAGCTCGCGGTATACTGAGCTTTGGGTCACGGGAGGACGCTAGTTTATGTCCTCCCGTGACTCTTAGGAGAACTATGGGGAAAAACACTTACCCTATAGTTCTCCTTTCGGGCTTTTCGAGTGACAACGTTCACTCACTCTACTATGGAGGAGCCCCAGCTCTGACCTAATACTAATGTGGTTTAGTGTGTTTACTGATCCTCATCGCTTGCCTTGGCTACCAGATCTTTCTCTGGGCCTTCTGGATTCCCCTATTGTCTCGGGTCAGGGGATCTTTGATGCCTGGTGGTAGACGGAGGATGGCCTGCCCCCGGAAACATATATAGTTACATAGTATTTGAGGTTGAATAAAGACACAGGTCCATCAAGTTCAACCTATTGCGTGTATGTATGTGATTCTGCATGTGTCTGCGTGTGTATGAGTCCCCGTGTGATCTTGTTTTTAAATGGTACCTGTACCCCTGTATGTTACGGTCTCTGAGGAAATTGTCCAAATGCTTTTTGAATGATTCAACACTCTCGGCTGATACCACTGCTTGTGGCAGCGACTTCCAGACCCTGACCGCTCTAACTGAGACGAAGCCCCTACGCCCCTTGTGCTTAAAAGGAGAACTATGGGGACAGTGCTTTTCCCCATAGTTCTCCTAAGGGTCACGGGAGGACATAAACTAGCGTCCTCCCGTCACCCAAAGCTCAGTATATAGCGAGCTACAGCTCTCTATATACTGAGACGCCGCAGCCAGGACGGATCCCAACATTACTGTCGAGAGCCACTCCAGCTGCATGATTGACAGCTGGCTCTGCCTATCTAAAGGCAGAGCCAGCTGTACCCGCCCCCTCCCCGGTCCATTCCGCCAGTCAGCGCTGGAGGATCGGAGAGGGAGGGGGGGGAATCCCTGCAGGGAGCCGTGAGTGACAGTCACTATTCTCGGCAGGGAGATGATCGAGAAGTGAGCGAGCGACGGTATGTGTTCGCTCACTTCCCGATCTATTGAGCCGACCTGTGACAGTCTCATTGTCACAGGTCGGCTCGAACTACGAGGAAGAGTGCAAATCACTCGCCTCATAGTTCTCCTTTAAATCTTTTCTCCACCAGTTTTAGGTGGCGGCCTCTAGTCCTTGTTATGGAGTTTACAGTAAAAAGTTTATTGCTGATGTTGCTATCACCATTGAACATCTTGTACATCAAAATCATGTCCCCCTTAGTCTCCTCACTTCCAGCATGAACAAGTTTAGATTTAGTAACCTTGTCTATATGCACCACCTAATACAGTAAAGTCCGATGAAGCAGATTTTACTCTGCGAAACGCGTCACTCCTTGATGACATCATCTTTGCCAAGGCACGGGAACCTGATTGGAGCTCAGGGATGGCTTTTTAATAATAAAAAGGTGGAGCTATACTATTGCTGCACACTGCGATTCGTCACCTATATACATTCATGGAGACTTGTAAAGTTAGTAAAAGGTCCATTTTAAGTGGCTTTTGAAATCATTTGTAGGGGCCCCCAAGTTTAAGATGTCTCATATTTCCGGCAGAGCTTACCTTAGCAGCGAATTCATACACGTCTCACAGAAGCGGTGTCCACATTCTGTCTGCCGGGGGTTGCACAGGACGAGCCGACACTTTTCACACTTGTACTTCTCTTCCACATGCTTCAGGAACTTCTCCTGGTAGCCCCCTTGCTCGGGCACGTAGATGGTGGTGGCGAGGCTGCGGTCTGGGTTGGCTCGCTGCTGTAGTGTTTGCGAAGACACGGGTGGCTCCACTCTTTTGCTTGCATCCATGATATAACAGCTAAATTCTGAAACAGGAAATGGGATCATCAGCACAGAGTCCATCACTTCCTGATTTGCATGCAGAAGACAGGTTTTCATCCCATCACCCACTACAAAAAGGACCTTAAAGTGAATGTAAAAGGCAGAAATGTTTTTCTTTTCGGCTTTGGATAGACTAGGGAAGGGTAATGCCCTACTCCAGCCTCTGCACTCCAGCTGTGGTGAAACTACAAATCCCATGAGGCATTGCAAGACTGACAGCCACAGACATCCACATACAATACAGGGTTAATAGCCCTGCCTAGTACGCGATGGCGCAGAGGGATCGCCCACAGTCCAGAGAGTCAGAGAAGAGGACAGCCCCGGAGTGGCGGGTGATAAGTAATATTTCCTCTTCTGGTACCCCCTAGACCAGGGGAGGGCAACTCCGGCCCTCTAGCTGTTGTGGAACTACAAGTCCCATGAGGCATTGCAAGAGTGAAAGTTGCAGGCATGACTCCCAGAGGCATGTTGGGATTTGTATCTAAAGCACAGCTGGAGGGCCGGAGTTGCCCACCCCTGCCCTAGACCTAATGAGCATTTGACTTTTTTTTTTCTTCTCCATCCCAAATTTGTGCTATAAACCTACAGCAATGTGTAAACGTATCTCCAATGGAAGGGTGACAATGCAGGAGGATGGTGCAGAGTGTTGTCACCCTATAATGAGAAGTGCTTAAACAAGGACCATCATGCCAGGATCCCCAGAAAAAAATTAAATGATGAGCCAGTCTGTCCAGTCCAGGAGGATGTATTTTTATTTAAGAGCCAGCCCCACTGACAACAACTTGGGCAGGGGCGGGCAACTCCAGCCCTCTAGCTGTGGTGGAACTACTAGTCCCATGAGGCATTGCAAGACTGACTGTTATAGGCATGACCCCCAGAGGCATGTTGGAATTTGTGGTTAAAGCACCCCTAGAGGGCCACAGTTGCCCACCCCTGCCCTAGACCTAATGAGCATTTGACCCTTGCAGGACAGGAGGGCCGACGGCAAGGGTTTATTTTGAAAAACGTTGGGTCTCCAGCTGTTGTGGAACTACAAGTCCCATGAGGCATTGCAATAATGACAGTTACAGGCATGATCCCCGGAGGCATGTTGGGATTCGTAATTAAACTGCAGTTGGAGGGCCGCAGTTGCCTACCCCTGTCCTAGACCTAATGAGCATTTGGCCCTTCCGGTACAGGAGGGCTCACTGCAAGGGTTTATATTTTCTCTAAAAAATACTCCGGGCTTCCAGCTGCTGTCCCATGAGGCATTGCAAGACTGACAGGTACATGCATGATCCCAAGAGGCATGTTGGGATAAGTAGTTAAAGCATAACTGGCGGGCCAGACCTGCCCACCTGCCTAGAGGAAACATCAAAGGTTAAGCGCCAGCTGTAAATTTTAAGGAGCGCGGGGTACCTGGCTCCTGGGATTTGCTCAGCCCTGGAATAATGTGTTGAAATGGGCACTTTTAGCCTCCATTGGAAGCCCATGTGACAGGGTGACAACGCAGGAGCACGATTTGGAGAATGGTGCCAAATGTTGTCACCCTAGAACACGAAGTGTCTCAATCAGGACCATCAGAAAATATTGAACTGCAAATATCCAAATGTAAAAAAAAACATAATAGAAAAAGACATAAAACTGTTGCAACGTGTATGAGATTTCAGTAATAATGATACATCGTCAGTTCATCTCGATCATTCCATTCTGGCTTCCTACACATCGCCCCAGATCTCCTTCCTACACCGTAGCTTGCTGAGAAACTTCGAGAGGCCGGCGTATTTCCACAGAGCCCTTCGCGTTCTCACTCCCATTACGCAGCTCTTCATCACGGCGAGAATGAGGTGAAGGACAAAAAAAAAAAAAAAAGGTTGTGATGAATGAAAAAGGCGACATCAGATGGTTTCAGCGGAAGCCGACACCTCGTTCTCAGAACCCGCGCCGCTCAAACCTTTCTGTCAACATTCTGAAAATGTCAGCAAAGCCGACTACACTTTCCCGCCCTTTCTAGGCCCCTCCGCCGCCGCCATTCGTGTTTACGATTTCCACGAACCAGGTCAAAGATTAAACAAGAGTTGTAAGAGTCATGCAAAGACACCACAGAACAAGTCATTACCAAAAACCTTCTGACACGCCGCCGAACGCACAATCTTCTTGGTTTTTTTTTACAATCTTTTTCCAGATTAACTGAGACAGCAAAAAAAAAAAACAGACAAAAAGGTTTAAAACGCTGTGACTCAGACATACAGTACAAAAAGAGAGTAAAAATAACATTTTGGAGAGACTGTAAAAAGCAAAGCGCGTGGGTGCCGAAAGGAAACAACGGCCAAGGCAGATTTTCCTTCTAATGAGAGAAAAAAAAATTTTTTTTTACATTCACAGTTTATTGGCAAACTGGATTGTGCTCGTGTGGTGGACCTTAAAGGTCGACTCCTACCGAAAGCAGGGGCTTGGGGTTTTTAATGGGCACCTGCGGGCTGGGCCAACCTGTTAAAGGGCGAGTCCACCTAAAAGAAGTAGTTAAAAGGAGAACTAGGAGGTCAGTGATTTTCACTCATCCTCATAGTTGTAGCCGACCTGTGACAATGAGACTGTCACAGGTCGGCTCAGTAGATCGGGGAGTGAGCGAACACATACCGGCGCCCGCTCACTTCTCGAGCTATCCCTGCAGAGAGCCGTGACTGTCAGTCAGGGCTCCCTTAGGGATCCCCTCCCCGCTCCTCCAGCGCAGAGAGAGAAAGAACAAGAGAGGAAGCGCAGAGAGAGAGAGAGAGAACGAGAGTGAGCGCAAAGAGTGCAAGAATGCAACGAGAGAGAGAGATGGAGCGCAAAGAGCGCAAAGAAAGAGAACAAAGAGCAGAGAGCGAAAGAGCAAAGAGAAGAGAAAAAGAACAAAGAAGGGAGAGCAAAGAGGAAAGCAAAGCGACACAGAGGGAGCACGGCGTGAGAGAAGAGAGAACAAGTGATATAGACGCTCAGTAACAATGGAAACATTTGTCTTCTGTAAGTTTTCGGTTCCCTAGACCGGCGGTAAATTGGTAGTTTTTAGGCTACGTGAGCCAAATGTAACCCTTTTTCTTACAGAGGTCCCAGAAATTCTAGAGTTGGTACAGTCTACACTTCCCTAGCAAAAGTTCCCTTACAGAAATATTTAGATTTTTAACTCATCCCTTTACACAGCATATTATTACTGGCTGCGGGTCCGCTGCAGGGGATTCCCCTGATATCCGGTGCCAATGATGCCAGGAAGTGAGGGGTAGAACGCAGAGATTGCACAGAAGAGACATTTTTCTTTACAGTTCAGCTTCAAGGACTGATGAGATCAATTCAGTCTTCAAGAGAGAGGAGAGAGAGAGAGAGCGCATTGGCTTTAGCCAAGTCACACCTGACTCATAGACATGCACTATAAGAGTGGCGTTGAAACACATTCACAGTGCAGCAGTACTAAGCAGGAGCTCGCATACGTAAATCAGCAAATATCCGTAACTTTAAGGAATACACTTCCTTGCTGTATCTATTGAACGGCGTTTCTCGAAAACGCCAGCGCACAGCCTATGCCGCTTTTTTATTATATGCATTCAATGATTTCAGCACCGGTGCCTCTGCTGCCTGGTTTATAAACCATGGAAAATACGCAGCAAAAAAATCATGTAACAGGAGGCTGCAGTCACACCCACAGTGCGGGAAACATCATCGAGCTGCACGACTTTAGAAGAGTTACAATATTTGCTAGATACCGGTAGCACTAGCAGGTGTTTGTGGTGACCGGGGTGGCTCTTTAAAGTGAACCTGTGCTCAGATCATGCACACAAATCATTTACAGACTCTGACCAGCCGTCTGATATAAACAAACAGAAGGTGGTTTTAGGATCATAGAAATGAACTGACTTTAGAGTCACTGCTGCGATCTTTGAGGATGAATAACGTCACAATAAAAGCAGCCAGAGAGGAGAGTGGTGGTTTGTTTGAAAGCCATTTTTACTGCCTGTTAGGAATATTTAAATAAATTACTGTCCATAGTCTGACCACAGGTGCACTGTAACACCTCTCTGCCGGCGTAACGCATACACTATATTGCCAAAAGTATTGGGACACACCTACAAATCATTGGATTCAGGTGTTCCGTGACATTTTCTTGCTACTAAATATTCCGCAGTCATCTGTTAGCGGTGTTATAGCAAAGTGGAAGCGACTGGGAACAACAGCAACTCAGCCACGAAGTGGTAGGCCACGTAAAATGACAGAGCGGGGTCAGCGCATGCTGAAGCGCACAGTGCGCAGAAGTCGCCAACTGCCTGCAGAGTCAATAGCTACAGACCTCCAAACTCCGTGTGGCCTTCAGATTGGCGCAACAACAGTGCGTAGAGAGCTTCATGGAATGGGTTTCCATGGCCGAGCAGCTGCATCCAAGCCTTACATCACCAAGTGCAGTGCAAAGCGTGGGATGCCGTGGTGTAAAGCACGCCGCCACTGCAGAGAAGTGGAGACGTGTTCTCTGGAGTAACCAATCACGCTTCTCTGTCTGGCAATCCGATGGACGTGTCTGGGTTTGGCGGTTGCCAGGAGAATGGTAGTTTGCCTGACTGCATTGTGCCAAGTGTAAAGTTTTCTTGGAGGGGTTGGACTTGGCCCCTTAGTTCCAGTGAAGGGAACTCTTAAGGCATCAGCATACCAAGACATTTTGGACAATTTCATGCTCCCAACTTTGTGGGAGGAGTTTGGGGCCGGCCCCTTCCTGTTCCAACATGACTGCGCACCAGTGCACAAAGCAAGGTCCATAAAGACATGGATGGCGGAGTTTGGAGTGGAGGAACGTGACCGGCCTGCACAGAGTCCTGACCTCAACCCCATAGAACACCTTTAGGATGAATTAGAGCGGAGACTGCGATCCCGGCCTTCTCCTCCAACATCAGTACCTGACCTCACAAATGGTCCAACATTCCCATAGACACACTCCTAAACCTTGTGGACGCCTTCCCAGAAGAGTTGAAGCTGTTATAGC